TTATTATAATTTTTTTAAAAAAGGAAAATAATAATAAAATAGGCTTTTACTATTTGTTATTAATTTAATTAATCTACTAGCTTCTTTATTAAATGGTCTATTAAGGTGGTTTAACTTATCATTTTTCAATCTTACTTATTTAATGTTTTAACGTTTTATTGTTTGGAGGAATATTTTCTCTTCTTATATACTGATTAAAAGTTCTACTTACAATTTGTTAATCTGCATTTTTTTAATAAATATTTAAACTTGGAATTTGGAAAGGAGTTTTAAAAATATTATTTGAAAATCTTCATGCTAGGATCATCTATTATAAAATATTTTTTAAAAGATTCCATTAGTAGAAATAATATATATATTTTCCTCTAGTTGTTAGTAACAAATCGATTCTATGCATACTTCTGCATTTTTTTTTAAGAGGAGTGAATACAAAACACTAGTCACTAACAGCAGCACTATTAGTCCTTGGCGCGCCATGGTAATTTCGAGCTCGCTTGATATTCGGGGGCATAGTTCCCGTGCTTGTTTTGTGACTTCGGCTACACTTGTTTCGTGGCTTTGGCCATGCTTGATTGGTTACTTACCCTCGTGAGCTATGTCCATGCTTGTATTAGTGGCTTCAAGCCGCGCTTGCTATTCCGTTATGTTAAAGCCCTATAAAAAGATTAGGTTTGAGAAATATTATTTTGTAATATTTTTGTGTAACAAACTGTTATATTATAAATTTGAATTTAATTGTTTAATGAGTTCGGGTATATATTTATCTTTTAATTTAAGATTGTATACTATGGAAAATTTAATTCTTTTCCATATGAATGTGATCATTCAAAGTTAAATTTAATTTTATTACATTCATTTGTTAGTATTTTAGTAAATATTATTAATGGGACGTTATTTATAGGTAGATTCTTTTATTGACTTCAAACAACACTATTGACCCTGTACCTTTAGCTGAGTAGTGAAGAGTCTCATTGAAGATCCAAAACTCATGAATTTATTTTGAGTAAATGTTAGCTAATTTAAACATAAAAGTATATTTATATCTTTATTTTTATAATTAGATACTCCACGTAATCTATGATTAGGTCTTAGTCTTTTTGGTTATTTTGGAATGTAGTTATATATACTGGTGCCAGGAAGCAAAGCTCTAAATATTGTTTGTGACTTGCAGGCTATTGTAGAATTTTCAGGAAGTCTAATTTACAGTGAAAATTCTACCAAAAATTCCTACAAATGGCTTTATATTTTGAATTACAACAATATGTGTAAGTATATGACTGTTTTGTCCAATGAGATGCTTCTGTTTATGATTACCTTAAAAATGTTTGTTAAACAATTGTCTATATATGTTTAGGCTTAGGAATGTGAGGTCTCTCATATTCTGTGCCGGTCACCTCCAAAGTTGGGGCATGACAACTATAAAAACTATTTTGAAAAAAATAGATAAATATGATAGACAAAGTAGATTGGAGGGATGGAAACCTTTGTCAACCACCTTGAGATTCTTAATCAAAAATAAATCCAAATAATACAATATAGCACAACTCGGATCGTTCACTTTGAGGAGTCTTTATTTGCAATCCTAGGCTAACTAAGTATAAAAAATAATAAATTGACAGGAAAAAAAGGTTTTGGGTTTTGAAAATTAATTTTACTTTATTTAATATTAAAGATGTAATGGAATAGATCTAAACTATTATTTTTTTTATATTTTCTTTTATAAAAGTGGAATGAGAATGGATATGATAAAATGTATTAGATGAATGCTTCTTGAAAATACATTAATAACCTTCCTTGTTCAAAAGATTTTGGGAGTTAAAAACAATGCACTAAGTCTTGATCAAAAACCGCAAAATACTATTTGCGTCAATCTTAATTAGTGATTATTCCTACTACCCTAGTTAATAAACACCTCTTAAGTTGCTATTTAAAACCACTTAATGTGTAAGTGTGATTAATTCAAATAGTTTGTTTCTTTAAAGACTAACATTCAACATTAATAGAGTACTCAGCAGAGACTCAAAAACAAGCTCAATTCAATGGTATTATCCACACTACCATGCCAAACAATACAATATCAATGAACCCACGTACGAAAGGAAATATAGGAATATATAACATTCAAACTATAAAATCCAATCACAGTCAAATTTGTCCAATTCAACAGAGATAACCAACTTGAAATATCAGTCTTTAACATTACAAAGCACCATTCTACAATCAGAGAATGTAAATATAGATAAGAGAAAATGAATTGAATTAATTTAACTCCCCTACGGTAGCTCTGGAACTCAAACTATTATCTCTATCCCAAGAAGCAATAAGAATTAGCCACTCATCATGTCAGACGCAGCAAGCTCAGAGGAAGAAGAAAGAGACGTGGTAGGCTATTCCTGGTAGTGATTAACGGCATGGTCGATGGTGAAGACAGAGGTGGAGGGCGCTGCTAATGATGAAGGTGATGGTGAGGGGTGGAAGCCGTCGTGGTTGAAGTTGAACAAAGTGGAGGGGGTAAGGTTAATGGATTCAAGGGAAAAATGGGATGGTGGTGTCGGCCAAAAATGAGCAAGGGAAGAAAACAATTTTGATGCCCTATTGGCTATTGCCAATCAAAACGCTGTGTTTCATTCTTGGTTCTTCTTAATATTTTCCCCCAATTTGTTGGTCCTTTGCTGTGATTTGGTATTGTCAGCTTTTATTTTCAATTTCTTTCAAGTTTCTTACAATAAAATCAAAGATGACGTAATATCATATCTTTCAAAAAAAATCAATCAATTTAAATAAATAATAAAATATGATATTTTTACTTTTTTTAGCTCTAATTTCATGCAATCATTGTTTATTCAAATTAATCATTAATTAATGCATTCAAGCCAAATAAATATGATAAGATCCCCAAACAAGATATGAAAAATCATGATAATTAAAATAGAAAGTTATCATGGAGTCTTATATTTAAGACTAAATTAAATATCAAACTAGTGCTTATATCAAAGATCAGTAGTAGTACCTGTAAAATATACCTGTGTAATGTTAGATTACACTCCTTTTGGTCCTTATTATAAGAATTCACTAATTATTTACTAACTAATTCACATGTACCAATAAAACTAGTTTAAAATATTAAATACATCATAAAATTCAAATGATTTTTAATATTACTCTCATTAATTATATTAAATTCCAACATCACATTAAATTTTATTATGTCATTATCCTTATTGAATATAAGCATATATGGAAAAAAAAAGTATTTAATGCTCATTAAAACTATCAAAGCTCTCATAAAAAATGACCAGGAATTTCTTCTAGAAAGACTCTCATGATAAGGAATAGGAGAAATTCTTGTATGCTCCGATGTACCAGCTCACATCAACTCTGACCAATCAAAAAATAACACCTCATTCAGTTTTAATCCTAGTTGGCTCGTCACATAAACGGATCGCTGACAATGCCACGGGAAATGTGATTCCCATCCCTTCCCTTACCTTCTCCCGTCACCGCTATTATTTACTCTTCCCTCCTGCTGCATTCCTCTTCAATCACCCATGAAACCTTGCATTTGCATTGTACACACTTGCACATAATTTCAACCTTAAAAATTCCTTTTCCCATAAAAACCCCTTCACCGCAGAAGCAAACCCACGCACACATGCATGCCCTCTGGCCCCCTTACTATGAAGAGAATAATGAGAAAGGAAAAACCTTTGGCCCTCCAAGCAGTTACCCACAAAACCCAAAAAGCCAAGGCCATGGAGGAATTAATTAAACAATGTCTAAAATTTATAAAGTTCAGAATTTGGGAAAAGCCTTGAGAAGAAAATGAAAGGGAAGGAAGGGAAAAAGAGACGAATCCGATGACTTGGCGATGACCTTTCCGATAATGCTATAATTCGCAGTCAGTGCGAGAAAACAATTGATTTTTTAGTGGTGGTGAAGGGGGTGACCTTAGGAAAAACCAATTCGCGGTCGGTGTAGCATAAGAAGAAGGAGGAGGAGGTGTGGGAGGGTGATTGACCGTGGGGGGAGAGAGAGAGAAGAGAAGAGGAATGGGGTTGCCTGGAAGGAGGAGGACAGGAAGCTGTAGGGGGAGGGAAGAGAAAAGAACGATGGTGACATGAGAAGCCAAGGGAAGAGATGAAGATCATGTTCCTGTAGCGCCGTCAATCATCCGTTCACGAGAGGAGCCAGCTAGGATTAAAATTGAATGAAGTGTTATTTTTTTACTGCTCAAAGTTTATTTGAGCTGGCATTCCAAAAGCATACAAGAATTTCTCAAAGGAGTAGAGGGAATATAAGTTTATAATTTAAATAAATTTATTTTTAAAAAAATAATAAATATGAAAGACAAAATATATTAAAAGCATCATATTTAATTAGAATACGGCCATGTGATTTGTCAACACCAAAGTGATCATGATATCAAGAGATCAGAAGAGATACTCCATGGGATTCTACTTTCATATAATATGGTACTAATATGGTTCAAGGCACGAGAAGAGCTAGTCGACAAAGACCATCCAATACGATAAAAATCATTTGATTAATAAATTCCCGTTTACATCACAGACGGAAGTTTCAAATTTTATATTATTGTGAGTGTGTATTACATACAGCCATAGATGCTCAAAGTGAAAAAAAAAAAAAAAAAAAAAATCTGTCACATAACCAAAAGTTACGGATTAGTCACCACCCATATGAATCCTACCATAGTCCCTTGTGTAGTTATTTAAAAGATTGATCAGATCCCGAGTGCGCGAAAAAGAAATTCTGTTCAGTTTCTCACTTTCTCTTTCTCGTGTGTAGAAGAAAACAAATTTCTATTGACGAGGCCTCATAAGTAAGGATCAAAACATAGAAATCCGTGATGCAGGTCACTTCCAAATTGTTTAGTGGAAATTGACAAATCAAAGCAGTCTCAAAAACAAACAAAAAACATTAAAAAATTGAAGCTTAGCACAATGGACACCGACCCTTCGCTCACAGTGTGTTGATTTCCCTGAAAACAGAGCCTGTTTAACTTTTCCATCTTCACTCTTCTCCCTCTCATACTCCCAGACATATCTTTCCTTGTGCCGTCCCGAGACTAAGCGTGAAGTTCCGGCGGAGAAGCCTCCCACGTTTTACCCGCCGGCGATATCTCAAGATTCAGGTGCTTCCCCATGTTATCTGCTGTGTTTGGATGTTTGAGTCCTCTGGCTTTGTCTTCACTTGATCTGATCTACCTAGCGATTAGTTTTATGTTTCCTTGTTTTTACAAATTTCTGTGTCATTAGCCCCTGATTGATGCAATTCTGATGTATCATATCTGTTCAAGCATTCTGTTTTCAGCTGCTATAAAGATCCACCCTCTTAAATCTTTTCTTTATTTTAATGTAGTTGTCTAGGAACTCCATTACCTGAAGTCTCAAGAAATCCAACAAATATTATTGAGAAGATGAGTTCGCTGATAGGTTCTCAGATTCCTGTTATAGACTTGACGGATGAAAACTTAAAACCTGGTTCAGAGAAATGGTTTTCAGCTAGCCAATTGATGCGGGGTGCATTAGAGACTAATGGCTGTTTTTACGTAATGAGTAGTAAGGTTTCTACGGAGCTTCACCACTCAGTACTTGCTCTAATGGAAGAATTGTTTGATCTTCCGCTTGAAACAAAAAAGCAAAAGACCAGCGACAAGCCTTATCATGGTTACTATGAACGAACTCCTCGAGCCCCTTTGTATGAATCCGTTGGAATTGACTTTGATGACCCCATTAATAACGAAGCAATTCAGAAGTATGCCAACATCATGTGGCCGACAGGACATGATCATTTCTGGTACTGCTCAAAACTTGGTTTACGTTGTTTTCTTGTTTACCTTTCTGCTTATACTTGAATTTTCTGCAGTCATTAATTGTTTTCTTCATTGTTTGAGTAGTGAGACGATCAATCTGTATGCAAAGTTGCTAGTTGAAATGGACCAAACTGCTAAAAGATTACTGTTTGATGCTTATGGTTTGGAAAAAAGACACTGTGATTCCCTGCTTGAATCAACCAGTTACATGCTCCGAGGTTTTAAGTACCTAGTACCTCAGAATAATGAGAATAATTTAGGATTGCATGCTCACACAGACGTGACATACTTCACCATACTGCATCAGAATAATGTGAAAGGTTTGCAAGTCAAACTGAAAAGTGGTGAATGGATTGATGTTGATCCCTCACCCTGCAAGTTTCTGTTCCTGGCTGGTGATGCATTAAAGGTGGGTTTTTTCATTTTCATATATCTTTATCTCAGAAAACTGCTTTTTTTTTTTTTCAAAAAAAAATGCTCCCATTGACAAGTGAAAGCTTATTTGATATTTTAGATTTGGAGTAATGACAGAATACAGTCTTGCCAGCACCAAATCATCGTAAAGGAGAAGAAGAAAAGGTTGTCCGTGGGATTATTTTCATTTAATAATAAGAAAGTCCAGACACAAGAAGAGCTAGTTGATGAGGACCATCCAATACGATATAAATCATTTGACCATTATGAATACATAACATTTCGTAAAAATTTTCCATCACAAATTTCCAGTTTTCTTCTGCTGCATGATGGAAGAATGACCTTGAATGGAAAGGACAAGGATAAATAATGATGAAGTCTCTCTCTCTCTCTCTCTCATGTTTCCTTATAACTCTTCTCACCAGTTCTGTACCCTCTCCTTCTGTTAGTTTCTTCTTCTTTCTGTTGGCCTCCTGTTATCTTCAAACATTTTCCTCCCAATGATTGTAATATATTTTTACTTTTGAGTGCTGCTACTCTCTCTGTTTATACTTACGGGTATGAAAAAATGTACTGTTTTTGAGAATTTAGTTTTGGAGTAACAAAAGAAGAGGATAGTTTATTAGATTGTGATCCGTTAGGACCAGCCTGGATTGTCGACGCATCTTTGATATATATTCACATGCGCACACGTGCACGCGCACACCCACACCCACACCCACACCCACACTCACCCGGATTTGGATTCTCTCTACTACTCTTCCCGTCATCTTCCCCTTCACACACACAATAAGTTGATGCTCTACAAAAATGAAGTTGTAGTACAATTGCTCTAATAAACAAAGGTAATAGAAATTGCATTGGAATGCTACCTCTACACGATTATGAACTTGTTTGGATTAACTTATAAGTAGCTTTTCAAATGTGATTTACGGAATACGAGGTAAGTATATAAGAAGAGCGTAAACTTGCTTAAAAGTGCATTTTGAACGGAGTTCCAAACAAACCATATATTGCTATGGACAGTGATACATTTGTACATAGTGAGACCAAACTAAACTAAATGAGTCAAGACATTGATTAAAAAATAATAATAGTTCATCCTCAAGTTAACGGAGGATAAAAATTATTACTTTCTTTTAACTACTACCTTGAGTCCTTAATATAAAAATTAGTTTAATATTCAATTTAGTCCTAAATATGATATCTCAATCCATTTTGCATCACGTATTTATTCATTTTGTCCTCAAGTAATCTCCATAGTGATCACATATGTTAAAGAGTTACTATTAAAGGTAATTTGAATGTACATGATTAAGAAGGATACAAATGTACAAATAACTAATTTAACTAACTTTCTTAATATTCACAAATTAATTATTTAGTTCTTGTATTAAAGACTAGAGGTAGTAATATTTAACCATTGATCAAAATTAAAGTACTGAAGAAATAAGAGTATATTTTTTTATTGAATTTAAATTCCTTAAGTATGCAGATAACTTCAAATTGCGATCTGTTATTAATACATGCACGTGATTATTCAAAATTCTTAGCATGAGAACAAACATTTCAGCTTCTTAGTCAATAAGCTCGTAATTTCTAGATAAAGAACCGTGTCTTTCAATAGCGGCTTTCCCAAGCACAATAGACACTTCCATTGTTTGATTTTAGGGAACATCGTTATAAGGTCCTAAGAAAATATATATATATATATATATAATTATCCAAAAGTCTCTATAACAAACGAGCAACATGAACTTATTGTCATTGTCTATACTGAAACTTGACATTTACTTGTTATGAGATGTTTTTAGTAGTTGTGTTTCTTTCTTGAAGCCACATAATGATTTTCCCTTGATTGAAAATCTTTAGCCTGTTAGCAGCCTAGCTGAATTACTTGCAAGAGAAGGAACTAATTCAAAGTAGCTTTTAAATGTGTGCGATTAGTTGCATATACTTTTTTTTTTTGTTAAAACATAAGTATCCTTGTTAAGATATGTGTTCTGTATATTATTGTAATTATCTCGATTGTTAGGAGGTTAAGTGAGACTTTTGACCGTTGGACCAATGTCTATAAATAGAGGTCCAAATATGTTCGGTCGTGCGTGTAATTCGATGGGCTTTTAGCCTAAACTATCAATGAAGTCCAGATCGTTCTGTCTTGAGTTCTCTAGCCCATCTTAACATGGTATCTAGAGCACGGTTGTTCAGGCCAGAGGTCCAAGAGCCTGATTCAGAGTAATCCTCTATCAATCTGTTTACTAAATCACGACGCCGTCGTCGTGGAAAAGGAATACACAGCAACGTTGCTGTGCACTGGAGTCCCATCCGTGAAGGATCGCCCTCGCCGTTTTGTTTCAATTCATGGCTTGAGTTCGCGATCGATCTTGAAGCTTTCTTTCAAAAGGTATCCTGCCGTCTTGCTCTGTCAGTTTTTTTTGCACGACGGATTTTCTTGAAGATATCGTCCAGAAGTTAATTGGTTCTTTGGTAAAGATTAATCCCTTTTCATCATCTTTCTGCTATCTTCCTCCCTCTTATTTTTCTTTCCTTCAACCATGGGAAAAGATCAAGAAGCAACCCATCCGTCCACCAAGTCCACTATTGATTTCACACATCCCTTATATTTACATCCCTCCGACACCCAATCCCTCACACTGGTTCCTCAGCTTCTAAAGGGGACCGAGAATTACGAAATTTGGAGTAGATCCATGCGATTAGCATTGTTTGCCAAGAATAAACTTGGTTTCGTTGATGGATCTTGCCTCCGCCACCAGCAAGAGTCTTCACACCAAGATATTTGGGACCGATGTAATGCTATTGTCCTTTCTTGGCTCCTTAACTCCGTTGACAAGCAGATCGCTCCTGGGATCATTTTTTCCGATAATGCTCGCTCCGTATGGCTTGACTTGAAGGAACGTTTTCATAAGGCTAATGGCTTGCGCATTTTTGCAATTCACAAGGCCGTCATCTCCTTATCTCAGGGCGCCATGAATGTTTCTGAATATTTCACCAAACTCAGAGATTTATGGGATGAGTATGACGCCATCGCCCCCCAACCCACTTGTCAGTGTTCCACGACACAGCAATTTGCCCAAATGATTCAACAGCAACGCCTCATTCAGTTTCTTACCGGACTCAACGAGATTCATAATCAAGCCAGAACACAAATTCTACTCCAAACTCCTCTACCTTCCCTTAATCAAGCATACTCTATTATCTGTCAAGATGAGTCTCAACAGCAACTCTCGTCTTATCCTGTCCCCTCACCGGTTGATAATGCCACCATGGCTGCACGGGGCGGTCGACAAGGAAGAGGCCGAGGAAGGGGGAGAGGACGGTCACAGGAGGAATGCACTTATTGTCATCGAAAGGGACATTCAAAGGATCATTGTTATCACCTTGTGGGCTTCCCTCCTAATTTCCGATCAAAGCAAACCCAAGCATCTACTACCGTTCATACTTCTAATTCCTCTCCTTCTACTTCTGTCCTCCGACCTGAACAAGCATCCATCACACAAGAGCAGTATGATCAGATTCTTAAACTTCTTCGAAAGGAACAAGATGATATTGCCGTAAATGTGACTGACTGTCCTGATGAGACTTTCTCAGGTTTGGTTGCTGCTCTTCCTAAATCCTTTTGTGAATCTCATTGGATTCTTGATTCTGGAGCCACCTGTCATGTAGTCAATAGTGTTGATATGTTTGATACAGGTTGATAGATACACTGGTCCTATAAAAATGATTAAAGTACCCAATGGAAGTCGCATGCTCATCACTCACGTTGGCACAGTCAAAATTTTAGATAATATTGTTCTTACCAATGTTTATTATGCTCATGGGTGCTGTTATAATTTAATCTCAGTATCTCGTCTAACAGCAGGGAAGGAGTTTATCGTTTCTTTCTATTCTGATTTTTGCACATTGCAGGATCTCATTCGTGGACAGACGAGGGAGATTGGTAAACTCCATGATGGACTCTATATCATTGAACGGATTAGAAGGGCAGATACAACACTTAGTATTTCTGCTAGGCATGCACAGGATATTTGGCATAGACGTCTAGGCCATGCACCAATAGATAAACTCAAGCATCTAGATCAAATTAGACAGGAAGTTCCTACAATTTACACTGATAAGTGCATCATATGTGCCCGTTCTAAACAACCCCGCTTACCTTTCCCTTTCAGTACTTCTAAATCTCAGTCTTGTTTTGATCTGATACATGTAGATGTGTGGGGACCATATAAAAGGCCCAGTTACAAAGGCTATCGTTACTTTCTTACTATTGTCGATGACTACACACGTTGTACTTGGACTTTTTTGCTTGTTAATAAAAGTGATACTGTTCATCATTTAAAGAATTTTCTTGCCTATGTCCATACTCAGTTTACTTCTACTGTTAAGAAAATTCGTAGTGACAATGGCTTAGAATTTGTTAATGCTGAATTACAACATTATTTGCAAAGCAAAGGAATTATACATGAGACTAGTTGTCCCTATACCCCACAACAAAACGGTGTTGTGGAACGTAAGCATCGCCATCTATTGGATGTTGCTAGGAGCCTTCTATTCCAATCTGGTATACCCCTAAAGTTTTGGGGAGAAGCTATTAAAACTGCCACTTTTTTGATCAATCGTACTCCCTCCTCTACTTTAGGTCATAAAACTCCTTTTGAATTATTATATGGTTACCCACCTGATTTGTCTTTCTTAAGAGTTTTTGGTTGCTTGGCCTTTGCCACTAATTTAAATATTCAAGACAAGTTTCAAAATCGATCTGAACCCTGTGTTTTCTTGGGTTATCCTGGCACTCAAAAGGGTTATTTGCTTTATAATCTCCAATCTCATAATTTTTGTGTTAGTAGACATGTAATCTTTGATGAAACCAGGTTCCCTTTTCAAGATGCAGCAGGTCTCAATCAAGGGGGAGCTCCTCATAATGACATGATTGATCCCTTAGAGCAGTTCAGCCACAAGTATGATGAAGAAGCTCCTCTGCCTATTACTTTCAGGCAAGATGCATCCTCTTTTGACCACCAAGACACTGTTGGAGATGAGCATGGTGATCCCATCATTCCAAATGAAAGGGAAATACCTCAGAACAGACCTGTTAGATGCAGAAAACCTCCTATCTGGATGAAAGATTACACATCCAGCACTGGAACATGTTTCAAAGGTCTGATAGGATATGCATGTACATCTCAAACACCACAAACAGTAGGTAAAAGGGAGGTAAAATATCCTATGCAATCTGTTCTTTCTTATTCTAACCTTTCTACTAATTACAAGCATATTCTATCTAGCATTGACAGTGTCACTGAGCCTTGCAGCTATGAAGAGGCCATAAAGGACCAACGCTGGATTGATGCCATGCAAACCGAAATAAAAGCTTTGGGGGATAATAAGACATGGGAGATTGTAGATTTGCCTAAAGGTAAAAGACCCATAGGGTGCAAATGGGTTTATAAGGTTAAGTATGACTCAAATGGAAACATTGAGCGCTTCAAAGCTAGACTTGTTGCTAAAGGGTATAGCCAACAAGAAGGGATAGATTACTTTGAAACTTTCTCACCTGTTATTAAGATGGTAACTATTCGTATTGTTCTCAACATTGCTGTGATGAATTCTTGGGAACTTTTTCAGATGGATGTGCATAATGCCTTCCTCCAAGGTGATTTAAAGGAAGAGGTATACATGCACATTCCACAGGGACTTGGTAAATTTGAAAACAACAAGGTTTGTAAATTAACTAAGTCCCTATATGGCCTTAAGCAAGCATCACGGCAATGGAATGAGAAGCTTACTGAAACTCTTTTACAAGGTGGTTTTAGGCAAAGTTTCTATGACTATTCTCTGTTTGTTAGACAATCTGATTCTGAAACTATTTTGGTGCTGGTTTATGTAGATGATTTAATAATTACAGGCAGTAATTTAGATAGTATTGCTGAGGTAAAACGACTGCTGCACAGTAAATTTAAAATTAAAGATCTAGGAGAGTTGAAATATTTTCTAGGAATAGAAGTAGCTAGGTCAAAGCATGGGATAATTCTTAACCAACGTAAGTATACATTGGATATTTTGTCTGAAATGGGCTTGACTGCAGCTAAACCGCTTAGTATACCTATGGAGCAGAACATCAGATTACATGGTAAACCCAAGAAGGAGACTGATGATCCTTTGATTCCACAGCCAACCATGTATAGACGATTAATAGGTAAGCTCTCCTATCTTACAGTTACTAGACCTGACATTAGTTTTTCTGTGCAGACCCTCAGCCAATTTCTGAATGCACCAAGGAGATCTCATTACAATGCTGCACTCAAAGTGGCAAGATACCTGAAAGGAAGTCCAGGATTGGGAATAATGATTGCTGTATCTAAGTCAAACAAGCTGGAATGTTATGTTGATTCAGATTGGGGGACATGCCCGGATACTAGGAGATCAGTCACTGGATATGTGGTAAAGTTTGGAGGATCTCCTATATCGTGGAAATCCAAGAAGCAAAATACCGTTTCAAAATCTTCAGCTGAGGCAGAATATAGAGCCTTAGGGAATGCTGTGTCAGAAGTGGTTTGGGTCACCAGATTGTTGGAAGACCTCCATGTAGATGGACTGAAACCTGTCAATGTATTCTGTGACAGTAAATCTGCCATACACATTGCCAACAATCCTGTTTTCCACGAAAGAACTAAGCACATAGAGATCGATTGTCATTTTGTAAGAGAAAAATTGCAGCAAGGAATCATAAGCCTCCAACACGTGAAGAGCAAGGAGCAACAGGCAGACATACTAACAAAGGGACTTGGAGTACAAGATCATGTTAGGTTACTTAGCAAGTTAGGGACAAAGAACTTATTTGCCCCCTAACTTGAGGGGGAGTGTTAAGATATGTGTTCTGTATATTATTGTAATTATCTCGATTGTTAGGAGGTTAAGTGAGACTTTTGACCGTTGGACCAATGTCTATAAATAGAGGTCCAAATATGTTCGGTCGTGCGTGTAATTCGATGGGCTTTTAGCCTAAACTATCAATGAAGTCCAGATCGTTCTGTCTTGAGTTCTCTAGCCCATCTTAACAATCCTCCTATTAGAAGTAATCCTATTCAAGACACTGTCGAGCACTAAATATGAACATCTCTTCCAAAGAGAATTAGAATCTTGATTCGTTGTATACGCTTTTATATGCATGTGAATCCATTAGCAAGATGCATTAGTTCATGAACCATTCTCTATGCCAAGTTGCAAGTAGAAATGGATCAAACCACGAAAACAATATTGTTTTATGCATATGGTTTGGACAAACGAGGAAATTTTTCCCTACTTGAATCAGCCAATTAACTACATGTTTTAGAGCTTCAAATATCTAGTATCCTAGAAAATAGAGAATAATATGGGATTGTAAGCTCCCACATCCACCTTAAAGAAAAGGATTATTTCCCATGAATCAGAAGAAAGGATCTCACCCGAAGAAGAAGAAGAAGAAGAAAGGATGTTAAATGAAACTGGATTTTGCAATAGTTGTCTAGCGAAGGAATGTAAAACTGTGTTGGCGTGTTGAAGGCAACTTTCTTTGCATTGATAAGTTAAGAATACAAGTATGACATTACTGTGACTATTCTACATATGGTTGTACATCAATATGAGCAGCATTAAGCTGGCACAAGAAAGGAAACTATATGAGGGTACAGGGAAAATTTTGATCATAAATTATAAAAGAATCTTTCATGTAAGTTGATAGAGTCAAATTCTATCGCCTCTGGAAGTTGAAGACTTTGATTGAAACTGCAAAAATAAAAGCAAAGAGTACTGCAAACCCGACAACCGCGGCTGCACAAACTCCTACGAAGCTATGTTTGAAGCCAAAATAACTCCTTAGAAACTCTCGGACAGTTTCGTTCTCTCCATCCATAGTTTTTGTAATATCTCCAAACTGTGATGCAACCAGTCCATACAAGGTCCAGGACACAGGAGATGCCCAGTAGTACCATCTCCACCACACAGGAATGCTCTGTAATGATAAATTTAAAAACAAAAAACAAAACAATTAGAAAATGGAAGATAATTATGTCCATCAATTCACATAGAAGACTGAAATCTGTGTTTAATACTCTAGAAATTCGAGAATCACTTACGGGTCGCGGGACAATGAATCCAGAGAAGAGATTCCAGAGTCCGTAGAATGCGGCAGAAACAATGGCAGCAACATGGTGATTTGGTGTGACAGCCACTCCCATCATGCCATAGAAGGTGAAGTACAACAATGTGAAGAACATGAAGAACAGATACCAGAAAAACTTCTCCGCAGTCCATTCAAATCCAATCATGGCATATACTATGAGACCATACGTGACAGCTTGGACAAAAATATATGGTATCTCTATTAAAACCTGTGACAAATAACTCTATTAGATTTGAGATCATGATTAAAAAAATTCTTTGTTAAATAATTTTACTATTTTCAGTTACCTGTGCAAATGCATAAGGTAAAGCAGAGTACATTCCGGCGGCTCGTTCTCTATAAAACACAGCTCTTTCAACTGCTACCACTGGTTGTACAGAAGAAGAGTTCTGAACACCAAGGAAGAGAACGGCAGTATACATAGAACCCATGGCATTAAACAAGTCTTGTCTGCTTGAGCTGTTGAAAGTTGCCCAAAAGAATCGCATCAGAACTGAAGTGAAAGATATAGATTTCTAAGATTAGCAAGTAGTTAAAAATAAATAAATAACTTACGTTTTGGTTCCGAGGTTCCAGAACATTGTTCCAAACATCAACGCTATGAAAGTAGTGAAGAGGAACCTCACAGCAGTGTATGGAGGATTTCTCCAATATGACCAATGTTGTTTCCATAAGCAAGCCAAGGATTGGACCCAAAATGACTGTGAGTACTGGGTGGGGAAATAAAGATCATTTGAACCTGGTGCAGGCTTGCCAAGATCTTCTATAAGCTGCTTGTTTCTCCTGAAAAGTCATACGTAGCAGTTTAGGAATTTAGAATGACAACAATATGAATGTCACTCTAGTCATTAGGCATTATATTCATAGCTATGAACTCACCTGTACAGGTCAGAGTTTCTGTAGATCTCAGTAAAATCAACACCTAAAGCAACCTCTTGTGCTGAAGTTGTGACTTCCAACATCCAAGTTGCTGGATTATAGCCGTCTTTGATTTTGCTCACGCCATCAATGCTCTACAAAATGAAAATATTGGAAAATCAGTGATCGCTGCTGCAATTATAGCTTGCTCATTGGAAATAACTGACTTTTAGTTGCCTCCTACCTCAAAGTACTTGATTAGTTGGCTAGAATGATGACCCAATGGTCCTACATATATCTCCTGTCCTCCACGCTTCATCAAGAAAAGCTGAGATCACAGTAACGTACAAACGTCAGATCCCCAGTCTGGTAAAGAATAACAGTACAAAACGCAAGCTTCATTGATTATTATGATTTGTTACCTCATCAAAAGCTTCAAATATGTCGATGCTTGGCTGATGGATGGTGCACACAACAGTTCTTCCAGTGTCCACCGTGTTCCTAACTGTTCTCATAACAATTGCAGCAGCTCTTGCATCTAATCCAGAAGTAGGCTCATCCATGAAAATTATAGAGGGATTAGCCACTAGTTCTACTGCAATTGTTAACCTCTTGCGTTGTTCAGTTGAAAGACCACTCACGCCAGGCAAACCAACCAGGGAGTTCCTCAATGGGTTCAGCTCCACAAGTTCCATGACTTCCTCAATAAACATCTGTAACAATTCATCAAATCCAACAATAAGACTAATCGGCTTTTATGTCAAGAGAAACTTTATGTTCAGGCCCAAAAAATGAGCAAATTTAAGGAAGTGTACTGCTTGGCTTTTGATGCTAACCTCTCTGGTTTTAGAATCGACCTCTTGAGGCAGACGAAGCCATGCTGAGTAGAGCAATGATTCATAGACAGTAACATGTGGGGAGTGGATATCATTTTGCTCACAATAACCAGCGACTCTAGCAAAAGTTTCTTGCTTTTTAGGGTATCCTGAAATGTTGATGCTCCCATCAATATATCCACCAGTTTTTCTACCAGCCAAAACATCCATCAGAGTAGTTTTTCCAGCACCACTGACCCCCATTAGCGCTGTGAGAACACCAGGCCTAAATGCTCCACTGACACCCTTTAGAAGTACCAATTTGTCCTCAAGTACACCTTGATCTTTCATTTCCTGCCATTTTTATATCAAAAGTGTTGGAACTCAAATAAAATACTCAACCACTGCTAGATTCAAGTCTAGAAATGATTTTTACCTGTGGCATGTCAACAGAGTATACAATTTCATCAAAAGTGATAGAGTGTGGCTCAAAAGGAAGAACCATTCCCCTTTTCCTTCCATGGCTGGAATCCGTAACAGAACCAGCTACTCTACCATTTTGCGAACTCACTACAAGAAAAAATGAGACCTTATTCAGCATCAAAGGCATGCTATTTGTTACAATTCAGCTGCAACATAGCTAGCATACATAGTTACCTATGCGTGGTAACTCAACTCCTTGGGCTCGGTGATTAGCTGCACTGTCTTCTGGTTCTTCATGTATTGTTGCCTGCGGCTTATCAAAAGCTGCAAAATCATTCATATCGATTAACTAAAGCCATGCATCACTCTGACATGATTTTTTTTTTTCCAAAGCAGCAGATACTTACGGTTTAGAAATGATAGAGCCAGTGCAAATAGAGCATTGAAAAGAACCACAAATCCAATCAGTGCTCCAACTCCAATCCAATACCAATATGCCTTTGTGAAGAATCCACGAGACTCAAGTACTTGGATCCCAAGTATCTTTGTTGAATTGGGGGCAAACTATAATTGGAAAACAAGGAATTTTCAGATTACACCCAGACGTCACTCAAATGAAAGCAGGAAATTTTTTAAAGCTGTGTTCAAGAAATTACATGGTTCCAACTATGCCCAAGGAACTCATTAACAGCTATAGCGTTCTGGCCATACATTAAAGGTGAAATCCAGTAACCCCAGATCCACCAGCCCTTGATATCCTCTGTTTGACATGCAATGAAAAGGGGGAAAAAAGCGCATGTAAGCATAAAGTGGTCAACGTGACTTTTTCTTTTTGACATTTTATTAACGTATCTTACTTCTCGATAGAATAAAGCCACCCAATGCAAGAAGAATGAGCAGTGCAAAGGACCCAAATGTGTTGGCAACTATCATGTTCCTACCAAGTGCTGCAATAGATCGGAACAGTCCAGACGCCATCTGGGAAATCAGTAACAGTAGAAGGTATTGCTTGAATAATCTGCATGATAAACAAAACAGAGGTCCCATATTATAAGTAAATACAAACTTGAACTAGAATTTCCAAACAGAAGAAGAAGCAAGCCTCTTATTTACCTTCCAACATTTGGATCAAATCCAATTACATAGTAAGTGAGAAATGTCCAAACAGCAACTTCCAAAAATGTGATGGGTATCTTGAGAATCCAAGTGGGAATAGCATATGCCCACGAAGGATAAAATAGAAGGTCCCGTTGCTTGTAGAAAACAGGTAGCTTTGCAATGGTCATAGAAATCTCAGCCATGCCATTGAACATAATCATCATTAATGAGAAAAATAGCGCACCAGCATAAACCCCTCCGTCATTCAGTGTATCCCGGTGCATATTGGTTCTTAAGAAAAGTGTCATTGCTACAAATGCCATGATAGTGAGCTAAATAGAACCAAGAAAAAATTACCAGTCAAAATCTTGTATAAAAAATAAACAAAATATTTTTTTATTAATAAAATAATAATAATAATCGAGAGCAAGTACCCACCTGTGTTAGCTTGAAGATGTAAACAAACGAGTTCCTTTTCATTAGCAAATATTCTCTAGAGAAGTTAGCCTTCAGAAGCTCCTTCTTGTTAACACCAAATTTTTTAGTGGTTAAGGCAGCCGGATGGTTCTTTGACTTATCAAATGGAATTGCAAGTTCATCTCCGATTCTTCGGCCAACATGAAATGATTGGAATGCCTCAGTAAATTGAGTAACTGTTACAAAACTGTAGGGTTCATCTCGGCGCACCCAATACTGTTCCTGATCTTTTCTTGAAGTCACCTGCAACAGGAGAAGATTATATGAACGAAATTACGATAAAACCTTTATATTGAGGAAACAAGAGATAAACCTAGGACTTACTTCTTGAAGAAAGTCAGCAACACCTTTCCTCTCAGGACATCTAAAACCCATTGATTCAAAAAAGTCAAGCACATATTCACGGGGTCCTTGGTATACTATTTGTCCATCAGAGATTAGAATAATATCATCAAATAGTTCATAAGTCTCAGGTGCCGGCTGGAGCAGCGAGATAACAGCAGTTCCATTCAGAATGTGAACTAACTGCTTGAGAGAGTTCACAATTTGATACGTTGTAGAGCTGTCCAAGCCAGTGGATATTTCATCCATGAATAAAGCATTAGCAGGTCCAACCAGCATCTCCCCTGTGGTAACACGCTTCCTTTGTCCTCCAGAGATACCACGCAACATTTCATCCCCGACCATGGTATCAGCACATATATCCAATCCCAAAACCTGCAAGTTATCAAAAAAAATTATTAATCTGTTTCCTTCACATAGAACATTTTAGTAAATTATTAAGCAGGAAAGAACCTGGTATTGGTATTACCTTTAATACATAATCTGTTACAACATTTGCCTCTTGGCCTTCAGTTGCTGCTGCCTGGAATATCAGAAACAAATTAAATGTTATGATATTCCTTACTCCACCAATTACAGTGACTATTTATAATTTAATTTTCTAGGGGTAAAATTATAAAAAATTATTATAGCTTCTCTCTTACCTTCATGAAGACATCAATGTCCGGATCAGGTTTAATATTTGCTTCTTTTTCTCTTCTTGACAATTCAGATAGCAAGTCTGTGATAACCACACCGAATTAGACTATCAAAAATTAGAATGCAAGGAAAAAGGGAAATGTTCATATGAAAGTTTTACTAACCATATCGTGATCCCACCCTTGGAACCTTGCAGAGAAAGCCAAGGTTTCCCTTACAGTCATTTCCCCAATGTGAACATCATGCTGGCTAATATAAGCAGCAGTTCTCTGAGGAACAAACTCCTTCATTTCATGGCCATTATAAGTCACTCTCCCAGATGTCTGTAGGACACAAGTATTTAAATTAGATGAGAAAAATTAAGAAATCACAGCTGCTCATTTACCATTTTAAAGAAAATGATCTTTAGTTTTCACCTTAAGACTCGGATCAAGCTTTCCAGACAAGGCCAAAAGAAGTGTGGTTTTTCCAGAACTTGGAGGACCCAAAAGCAGTGTCATCCTGCGAGGCTTGACAATTCCACTAACATCTTTAAGAATTGTCACATGTCTCTTTCTGCTTGAGAGTACATGCAGAGAACTCAAGAAATTCTGGGAGACCAAGACCCAAAGATTGTCAGAGACTACATTGAATAACATCAATAACTCAAAAACAACATTTTATGATCTAACAAATCCACCTGTTCCTACCTCTGCTATATTAGTAACGAAGTTTATAAAAGTGGGCAAAGCTCTGCCTCCCGCATAAGCCTCTGCCTCAATATTTAGGTGCTCATATCGAACTTCAATTGTTGGAATATCAAGCCCAACTCTGAAACCAAAAATAGAAAACACAAGTATAACAAATATTTATTAGTTATACAAGAAGAGGTCGATAACACTGGCATCGATCAAAAATATAGTTTATAATAATTAAACTTGGTTTCCAAGAATATAAATGGTTGGATTAAAAATTCTCCTCAAGTATATTATGTAACCGGGAAAAAAAAAAATCAATTGATCCGCCATCTCGTGTCAGTGTAAGATAAAATTAACAAACTAATTACGAAATTATTACTACTTAATTTTTAAAAAAAAAAACTTATGTTCCAGCTCCTCCATCACTAGAATCCTGCACTTAAATTCTTGCTTAACAGGAAACAGCTAATTTCTCTTCTGAAAAGCGATATATTCTTACCTATCAATTCGTTCCCTGAGCTTTGACAAGAACTTCTCATTGTCCTCTTCGGTAACTTTAATCAACCTATCAAGCAATTTCTTTTTCTCCTGAAACCCAAGATCACCGATATCGATTTCATTGGCTATCCCATGAGATGCGGTCAACAAGCCTTTTTTGAGACGATTGTAAGTTGGGAGCTTTTCAAGCGCAGCCCATTTCAGAGCCTCTTCATCGTTTTCTTCACGCGAAGACCTCGAGAATACTTCAACTCCACTGCTTCTCCAAGCCGATGAACTCCCGGCTCGCATGCTACTTCGCATGCTATTACTTGCTAAATATATATTACCACCTTCCATCGCAACCCAAATGAAAAGAAGAAGACAATTTCTGCAACTTCAGTTCAACCCTTCGGAATCTTTTCCCCCTTCAATTCAGGAAATATAAAAGGACGACACCTTTCGCAGCTTCAAATCAACCTTTTTCAAGATTGGAGACTGGGAATAAAGAGTTTGTAATATCAAGTAATGCTTCTTAGCGGAGCTATACAAATAAGCGAAAGAATTAAAGAATTTAAACTTGAAACGCTGAAAAAGGAAGACGAGATCTGTTTTAGTATTTTTCAGCTTTGTAATGGGATAGAATGGGATTGAAGTGAAAGAGCTGGCAAGGCCTTTATATATACTCATCGTTAGCGTAACCCGGCGGCCAGTGAAGAAAGAAGGTCAATTTGTCAAATGAAATCTAGAAGGCGTTCCCCGTTCTCATTTGGGTGACGAAAGAATGGACCGAAGAAAAAACGTGGAGAGAGAGTTTCCGGTATGAAATCCGAAGGAAAGTTCCTAGTATGAACAGGTCGACGAAGGCACCCTGTGAAGGAAGGAATACAGGAGGTCAAACATATTAAAATTCTGCACAATATTACAAATCGGTCAGAACTGATTTTTCTCAATTAAAATTAGATTAAAACCCAATTTTTTAACTACAAAATTAAATTAAATTTAAAATCGTATAATGTGCTTTACATTTAAATAATTTAATTAAAAAATTATTTAAATAATATGTTGAAAACGGCTTAAATATAAGAAAATCCTAAAATAAAAAAATTACTTTATTTTTAAAATGACTTATAAAAAAATTTATTGCCTCTAAAACTGATGCCAAATAGCAGTATTAATTTTTTTTAATTCAACTAGCTTTTTTTTTTTTAAACAGACTTGTAAGATTTCTTAACTTTATCTAAAACATGAACAAGGCATTAAATCAGGCTGCTGCATATATTCCTTAACGGAAAAGTAGTCCTTTTTTTTGAAAAAAAAATATTATGAAGTGTTGACCAATCAATCCAATTATTATAAAGCTTGATATATATATTTATAATTTATAAATCAAGTTAGATCAAATTTGAGATATTGCAACGGTGCAAGATGAGGAAGAAATCCGTTGCGGTCCAGCACACGGAACGAGAAGAAAATAGTAATGTTTTTTGTTTGATACTGCATTTCAATCATTTTTATTTATTTTGTCTTCGACCCGGCATTGAATTTAGAGATAATATTTGATATAAATATCTATATTAAAGTCTTCTTATAATTATGTAAAAATTTATTATCAAGTTTTCAAACTAACGATAAATATGTACTACCCAGAGAAAAAGACATACGCTTGCAAAGGCCAACAAAGATTCTGATGTAAAGATAAAATGTGCTTGCGTTGCCAGTAATTTTTGGGACAAACAGCCATTTTTTAGAATGTAAAGAAACTGAAGTAGAAGACAAACGTTTAGGTTAGTCTTGCATCGTCCTTCATTTAAAATTGATCAGAATATATATTAGTTCTGGTCTTTAATATAAAAATCAATTTGGCTTTTAATTTTATCTTAAATACTACTTCCAGTTCTTAATATAAGACCTTATTTGATTTTTATTTTGATCCTAAATATAAGATCTCAATCTATTTTGTCTCTAATATTTATACAATTTGTTCTAAGATAGTCCTTCTAATAATTGTAGTTTTAGCCAATATACTTGATTAGTAATAATATTTTAGGAAAGACAATACATATTTATTACAAATAACTAACTTAACTTCTTCCCTTGATCTTCTCAAATTAGTCAACTAGCTCTTATGATCAGGACTCGAGGTAGTATAATATTCCAATCTACTTTGTCTTTCATATTTATCTTTTTTTTTTAAGTAGCCTTATAGTAATTACGCATCCTAAGAGTTGTATCAAATGGTAGATTTAACTAATACATATCATTAGCAAGAATATATTTAAAAAAACACATAATTATTACAAATAACTAACTCAACAAAATTTGTTAATCTATTCAAATTAGTCAATTAACTCTTATATTAAAAATCAGAAGTAATATATATAGCTAATTTTAGAATATAAAAATGTCAAAACAGAACACAAAAAGACAGGTCAGGCTGCGTGGGGTGGGGGAATAACCGAATAGGTCTGGGTTAGTTCAATATAAATGTGACAGATCTCAGAAAAAATTACCATATACTAATATCAATAATCTATTTTCAAGGTTAAAATCATCAATAAACTATTTTATATTTTTAAAATTTTAAATATCATGTCAAATATATAATATTAAACCTATTACTATAATTTTTACACATATATAATAGTCTAACTAAAAGTCTTCATATAAATTTTTCCAGTTCTAATAATAATAATAATTCTATAATTGACATTGTTAGGGATTGAAAGATGAAAAGGGGACTTGATTGACAAGCCTGAAACATTGGGAAGGGGTTTCCTTGTTTTCATTAAAATTTTGAAATATAACCAAATAAAAAAATGAAGATATATAGGTTAATTTGATCCTATCTCTTTATTTAAAATTTTAAAGCACCGCGTTTAAAGATTTTCTCCACTTGTTTGTAATTATAAACAGTCCAATTTTATCTGCTATGACATTTCCACAATTGACCATAGAATGGTCTTTTATTTGAAAAAAAGAAGAAGAAGAAGAAAAGGTGTAATTTCATGAGCTTTCTTACGTTTGAGCCACTGTCTCCATATTTATATATCCTTATTGAATTTCTGCTTTAATACTATAATATCACTCTTAAAGGACTGGAAAAATATCAAACATCAAGAATATAATATCATTAGACTTTTTTTTTCAATTTAAAATATATATACACACACATTACATATTCTGGATATCTGATTATTACATAAGAAAAATAAATTTTTAAATGAATATAAACTTTCTTTTAAAAAAAATCAAAAGAATAAGGCAAAGCATGTTCCATGAAACAGAAGAAGGTGACATTTAACTTTAATTAATTGAAGGGCTGCGTTTGATCAATAATTATTAAAAAGTTGATTCTCTTTTCTTTTTTTTTGGGGGGGACAATCTGTCTTGTTCATGCACGAAGCAATGCGTAGCGATAGGGCTATGATAAAGACACAGGGCCCTGGTTTTTCTATTATGTTATGTGACATAATCAATGATATCATAAATTACTTCTGGATTTATGTGGGGCCATATACGCGCATTATTGAGTGCTCTTGCTAATAAATTTTCTTGCCAACCAAGCAACCAGTGTAATTAAATTGGAGTGTTGGCTAATCAATGAGCCTATCAAGCCAAAAAATAAATTAAACAAAAAAAAAGTATACACTGGCCCACCACATATTCTTTTCCGAAGAATATAATAAGTACTCCTTTTGTTGTTAATATATATATAAGCTAATTAGGGAGTTAATGTTACTGGTCAAAAAAAAAAAAAAGGAAGTTAATGTTTGTTCTATATCTAAGATCTATTTTACATATTTATTATTATTATTTAATTAACCTAGTGATATTTGGAAAAATTACAATTAAGTCCTACAGAAGAGAAATAATTACCAAAAGGTTCCAATAACAACCTCAACAGCCTATAATGACAAGTCTTATAGTGAAAATAACAACTTTTGAGACTTTTTTTTTCAATTGTTTTTCTTCTTTGGAACCTCATTGTAATTCTTTCTTGATATTTTCCCAATAATAATCAAATAGGATAGAGAGGAAGAAATCAAGGAAAATACTTATAATGTTTTAAAATATATATATAATATTAACTAATTTAAGTAACATTCTTAATCTACCCAAATTAACTAATTTGATCTTATATTAAAGACTTAAGGAGTATATATAATTAATCTTCTAAAGGTTTAAAGTTTTTCCATGGGTCTAATTTTTCTTTTCCATTTATTCTTAACAGCAAATTGCTCCTGTGGTAATGCTACTTGCTATACTTGAATGATCTCTCAGGCTCGAGCTTGATGTTAAGTAACATGCTCATTTATATTTGTCTCTAAAATTTTACTCGATATGAGTCAGTCCCTATAGTTTTAACTTGACTTTTAACCTTACCTTAACTCACTGCACAGTTCCTGTGATTTTAATAACCATTCAAAATTTTTAATTCTCACTATTGAAGAAACGCATAGTTTCATTTTCTTAATCGATCTTACAAGTTGTTATGAGACCTATCACTGTATATTTACTCGTACGTATTGCTTGATTGAAAATGATTTAAATTGTAGTGATGAATAAAAGATATGAAAATTTTAAAAGTAGTCAAAATAGCTGCCGTGGAGATTTTGATTAAATTGATTAATTACATATAAATATGATAGTGATTCGTGACCTGCTTACAAAAGTCAAATCTAAGGAGAGTGAGAATCAGTTGATAAACAAGAATATAAAATTTATAAATATCATCGGCCAAGCAAGTTCATAATCAAATCCAAAATAATGGGATAGTAACAATTTCTACTCTTACCTGGTCATCTATGTCGTATTCATGTCCATGGAATTCCTATATGGATTCCAATTAAAAATTCAAAAAAAATTGACATATCCGTGTTGCACTTTTTCTTTTTTCAATTTTTCCATTAAAAATATATGAAACAATGAACCCTAGATATGTTATGTAAATTTTATGGAAAATCTTACTGTTTAAGAATAGTATAAATAATAACACAATTCCTTTCAGACTTATATTCGTATATACAATCTAATTGTATAAATTTCATTACATGCACTGTTTTTTCCCAAAAAAAAAAAGATAAAAGAAAAATTCATTACACAGATTACTTGTTTGGTAATACTTTGTCCCACAAAAATTTCGTTTTATTTATTTATTTTTATTATTTGCATGCAAACCTATGAACAACTTGACATACTTTCATTGAAGCAAATATTGTCTGGAATAATATATTTGGAGTTTTTTTAAAGAAAAATTGTGTAAACCTTCTTTAAATAATTGAAATCTTGTAAAAATATGGAGAGAAAAGTTCAAAAAATTTTAAAAAAAATCCATTAAATACCAAAAAGTTTAGGTGTATCCGTAGAAATGCACAGCTGTGTAACGAAGAGTAATATTAATTTAAAGGTCAAATAAAAAGCAATAACGATAACCATGACTAAAATAAAAATATCCCCCCCCCCTTTTTTTCCTTTTGGGGAGGTGGGGTGTGATCTTCTGGAAGACCATGATGCGTGAGGACTGAGGGGGAAGAACATGGAAGCCAGACAAGCTCATAAAGTCATGGGATTAATTAGGGCCGCAGGCTCGTTCCCACTTGCTTGCTTTCTTCCCTCAAGAAATAACATC